TGTTGACCAGGATGGTCTCGATCTCTTGACCTCATGATCTACCCGCCTCGGCCTCCCAAAGTGCTGGGATTACAGGCTTGAGCCACCACACCCGGCCCTCGAGCCCAAAACTTTAAAACCAGCTTGGGTAACATAGATCCCATCTCTAAAAAAATTTAAAAATTAGTCAGGTGTTAGCGGGGCGTGGTGGCACATGCCTGTAATCCCAGCTACTCGGGAGGCTGAGACAGGAGAATTGCTTGAATCCAGGAGGCAGAGGTTGCAGTGAGCTGAGATCATGCCATTGCACTCCAGCCTGGGAAACAAGAGCAAGACTCTATCTCAAAAAAAAAAAAAAAAAAGGCGAGACGTGGTGGCACACAACTGTAATCCCAGCTACTCGGGAGGCTGAGGCAGAAGAATGGCTTGAACCTGGGAGGCAGAGGTCACAGTGAGCCGAGATCATGCCACTGCACTCCAGCCTGGGAGACAGAGCTAGACTCTGTCTCAAGAAAAAAAAAAAAGAAAACCTAGTAAACAAACAAAAAACCTGATCACCTCACGGTTCCTTGAACACACTATGGAGTTCCCACATTAGTGGGTATGCAGTGAGATGTCAGTGGATATGCATATGAGGGGATTTGCATATTCAGTGGCCCCTGCCTGGGATGCCTTGCCCAGTCTCCTCCATCTCGAGTCCTCACCATTCAGATCTCATCATCTCTGCCAGGCAGCCACCCTAACACTAGGGTAGCTAGTGACTAGGTCACGTCTCCTCGTCGTAAGCTCACAAAGCAGCCATCACGGTGGCCAGGCATGGTGGCTCACACCTGTGATCCCGCCACTTTGGGAGGCTGAGGTCTCAGGATCACCTGAAGCCAATAGTTTGAGACAAGCCTGGACAACATAGTGAGACCCCATCTTTACTTAAAAAAAAAAAAACAGCTGGTCACAGTGGCTCATGCCTGTAATCCCAGCACTTTGGAGGCTGAGGCAAGCGGATCACTTGAGGTCAGGTATTCGAGACCAGCCTGGCCAACATGGTGAAACTCACCTCTACTAAAAATACAAAAATTAGCTGGGCATGGTAGTGCATGCCTGTAGTCCCAACTACTCAGGAGGCTGAGGCAGGAGAATTGCTTGAAGCCAGGAGACAGGTTGCAGTGAGCCGAGACCATGCCACTGCACTCCAGTCTGGGCAACAAAGCAAAGCCTCCATCTTAAAAAAAGAAAAAAAAAAGCAGCCATCAGGCCTCACTGTAATGATCTCCTGTCGATTCCTTGTTGCTGTTGCCGTTTTTGAGACAGTCTTGCTCTGTCGCTCAGGCTGGAGTGCAGTGGCATAATCTCCACTCTCTGCAGCCTCTGCCTCCTGGGTTCAAGCGAGTCTCCTTCCTCAGCCTCTGAGTAGCTGGGGTCACAGACATGCACCACTGACTCCCAGTCAATTTTTGTATTTTTTGTTGAGAAGGGGTTTCACCATGTTGGCCAGGCTGGTCTCAAACTCCAGGTATCAAGCTATCTCCCCACCTTGGCCTCCCAAAGTACTGGGGTTACAGTTGTGAGCCACCACACCCGGCCTCTTGTCAGTTCTGTAGTGAGGACAGGGACCATGCCTGTTGCTCCCGTATGTGACCCCAGCACCCTGCTTGCTGCACAGGAGGCACTCAGCAAACTCAGATTTGGAGTCAAACAAACTTTTGTTCAATCTCCAAAGCTGGGGGAACTCCAGGAAGCAACTACTCCTGTGAGCTTGTTTTCTCATCTGCAAAACTGGAACAAAATACCCACAGCATTGTGCTGTGGCAAAGATTCAATAGAACGATGTTTACGATGCTGGATCCTCACAGAAGTCTGATAAATATTCATGGAGTAAATGAATAAATATTCAGCTTATTGTGGGTAATCCCCCTTCTGGGCACCGAGGAAAGAGAGCTAAGCAGACCCCCGGCACAATTAGTGTTTGAAGAATATCTTACTGCTCATTCATTTCCTTTTATATAATCCTTTTATATAATTACATCTTAGTTTGTAGTGGGAGGAGTGTCAAGAGCAGACACGACGCAGAGCATGAACTAGGGAAAGCGGCCATACTGGGACAAGAATCTATGGCGAAGATAGAAGTGCCCCTGCCTGCAATGGCATGTGCTACATGGCAGGCCGGCCCAGGCAGCAGCGATCAGTATCATAAAAATACCCTCTGTGTGGCAGGCTTGGAGCAAGAATCACTCTTCCTGTAAGGGAGCTGCAGTATCTTGCATCCAGTTCTTATGCAAAGCTTGCCTCGGGCCAGCAATCCTGAGAACATCTGATCAGGTACAATTGCACCCTGGTAGCTGCATACCCTGACAGCTCTGTTGCTACTGTGCTGGCTCAAAACATCCCGCTGTGGAAAGCCTTAGAAGTTGCCTGCCCCTAGATAAGAGATGCCGCACACCGCCCACCTCCTTGCCTCAGTGACCTAATGGGGGGCCCTTAGCTTATTGTGATTGTCTTGACCCTATCACTATCTTCAGGATGACCTCACTCACCACCCTTCCCCCACCACACCTATGCCAAATAAACACAGATGGCCCTGAATGCTAGGGGGCCTCGCCTGTCTCCGTTTGTAAGTGGCGTTGGCCCCCGGAGCCCAGCTGCTCTTATCCTATCTTTTGTGTCCTGTCTTCTTATTTCTCGGATCCAGCGCCTTAACACAGTGATAGGGGACACCACGACCCTAGTAGGGCTGGACCCTACACTTATAAAGGGAGAAAGGCCCCTAGTTCTTGCTAGTCTTTTTTTTTTTTTTTTTTTTTAGATGAAGTCTTGTACTGTTGCCTGGGCTGGAGTGCAATGGCTCACTGCAACTTCCATCTCCCGGATTCAAGGGATTCTCCTGCCTCAGCCTCCCAAAGTGCTGGGATTACAGGTGTAAGCCACCACACCCAGCCTTGTCAGTCATTTTTAAGATACATGAGGTTGGCCTGGTGTAGTAGCTCATATCTGTAACCTCAGCACTTTGGGAGGCTGAGGCAGGAAGATCAATTGAGTCCAGGAGTTCAAGGCCAGCCTGGGCAACACAGGGAAACCCCATCTCTATAAAAAAATACGAAATTAGCCAGACGTGGTAGTGCGTGCTTGTGGTCCCAACCACTCGAGGCGCCAGGGCAGGAGGGTCCCTCGAGGCTAAGAGTTTGAGGCTGTAGTGAGCCATGATTGTGGCACTGTACTTCAGCCTGGGCAACAGAGAGAGGCCCTATCTCAAAAATAATTAATGAATAATTGAATGAATTAAATACTTTTTAAAAGATACAAGAGGCAAGATTGGGCCCTGTGGCCTGCACATGTAATCCCAGTGCTTTGGGAAGCCAAGGTGGGAGGACTGCTTGAGCCCCGGAGTTCAAGGCTGCAGTGAACTATCACTGCACTCCAGCCTAGGAAACAGAGCAAGACCCTGTCAAAAAAAAAAAGCAGCAGCAAAATGTCCAGACTAATACTACATTTTTCATCAATTGAGGTACACAGTAAAAAATAAATAAATTTGGCTGGGCAGTGGCTCACACCTGTAATTCCAGCACTTTGGGAGATCAAGGCGGCCGAATCATGAGGTCAGGAGTTCGAGACCAGCCTGGCCAACATGGCGAAACCCCGTCTCTACTAAAAATACCAAAAATTAGCTGGGTGTAGTGGTGGGCGCCTGTAATCCCAGCTACTCGGGAGGCCGAGGCAGGAGCATCGCTTGAACCGGGAGGTGGAGGTTGCAGCAAGCCAAGATCGCACCATTGCACTCCAGCCCTGGCTGTTAACAGAGTGAGCCTCCACCTCAAAAAAATAAAAATAAAATAAATAAATTTATTTTAAAAAGGGTGGGTGCAGTGGCTCACGCCTGTGACCCCAGCACTTTGGGAGACTAAGACAGGTGGATCACTTGAGGCCAGGAGCTGGAGAGCAGCCCGGCCAACATGGTGAAACCCCATCTCTACTAAAAATACCAAAAATTTGCTGGGTGTAGTGGCAGGTGCCTGTAATCCCAGGTACTCGGGAGGCTGAGGCAGGAGAATTGCTTGAACCCGGGAGATGGAGGTTGCAGTGAGCTGAGATTGCACCACTGCACTCCAGCCCTGGGGACAGAGTGAGACTTCATCTCAAAAAAATAAAAATAAAATAATAAATAAATTTAAATTCTTTTAAAAAGGGTGGGTGCAGTGGCTCATGCCTGTGACCCCAGCACTTTGGGAGACCAAGATGGGTGGATCACTTGAGGCCAGGAGCTGGACAAATGACAAAACCCCATCTCTACTAAAAATACAAAAGTTAGCCGGGTGCGGTGGGGCACACCTGTAATCCCAGCTGCTTGGGAGGCTGAGGCATGAGAATGGCTTGAGCTCAGGAGGCAGAGGCTGCAGTGAGCTGAGATCACACCATTGCACTGCAGCCTGGGTAACAAAGCAAGACTGTCACACACACACACAAAGAAAAAAAGACTAAAGACTGAAAAATAAATAAGGCCAGGCACAGTGCCTCACACCTGTAATCCCAAGACTTTGGGAGGCCGAGACAAGAGGATGGCTTGAGTCTGAGAGCTCAAGACCAGCCTGGGCAACACAGTGAGACCCCACATCCATAAACATTTATTTTCATTATATATATATATTTTTTTTTTTTTTTGAGACAGAGTCTTGCTCTGTTGCCAGGCGCCAGGCTGGAGTGCAGTGGCACAATCCCGGCTCACCGCAACCTCCACCTCCCAGGTTCAAGCAATTCTCCTGCCTCAGCCTCCTGAGTACCTGGGATTACAGGTGTGCACCACCACACCCAGCTAATTTTTGTATTTTTAGTATAAACGGGGTTTCACCATGTTGGCCAGGATGGTCTCGATCTCTTGACCTGGTGATCTGCCCGCCTCTGACTCCCAAAGTGCTGGGATTACAAGCTTGAGCCACCACGCCCGGCACATAAACATTTAAATAAATTTTTAAAAAACTTTAACCTTACCTGGAGCTGAGATAAATTAAAAAACAACAATTTGTACACAGCGATGAAGACAATACCATTTATATATAAAACACAAAACAAACATATTTGTCAGGTACATCCACAAGTATCCAAACATTCAGAGAAAGTTCTAGAAAGACACACATTAAGCCATGGCAACTGGAGAAGGGCTAAGGAAATTTTCCACATTGGAACTTCTGGGGCTGGGCGCAGTGGCTCACGCCTGTGATCCCAGCACGTTGGGAGGCCAAGGCGGGCAGATCACCTGAGGTCGGGAGTTCAAGACCAGCCTGGCCAACATGGTGCAACTCTGTCTCTACTAAAAATACAAAACTTGGTCAGGCATAGTGGCAGGCCCCTGTAGTCCCAGCTACTCGGGAGGCTGAGGCAGGACAATTGCCTGAACCTGGGAAGCCGAGGTTGCAGTGAGCCGAGACCATACCACTGCACTCCAGCCTGGATGACAGAGTAAGACTCCGTCTCAAAAAATAATAATAACAAAAATTCACCAGGCATGGTGGTACATGCCTGTAATCCCAGCTACTCAGGAGGCTGAGGCAGCAGAATCACCTAAGCCGGGAGGTGGAGATTGCAGTGGACTGAGATTGCCCCACTGTACTCCAGCCTGGGTGATAGATTGAGACTCCATCTCAAAAAAAAAACGAAACAAAAACCACGTCTAGGTCACCTGAGTTTTTTTACATTCCTTTGGTGTTTGCAAAATAAATCAAAAACAATGAAACAAAACCCCTGAGATTCTCCTTTCTCCATCCCAACCTGGATCCCCCAGCATCTAGCATCCCACAGGACCTTCATTCAGCCCCATTCCTGGGCCTCAATGTCCAGGGAGTCCCCTGCAGGGAGCTCACTACCCCTGAGCTGTGTTGCTTCACTGTTTGACAATCAAGTTCTTTCCCTGGCAAATGAGAATCCCATTTAGCTAAGCTGTTTCGAGATCCCTGAGGCTCCTGGGTCTCCACGCAGCCTGGGTGTGACTTCCCTGGATCCCCTCATTTGCCCACACAGAAGTCCCGGAAGATGATGTCCAGGATCTCCTCAGTTCCCCCTCCACCTGTGAGCCGGGTCAGGTGCCCCCGGGCCACCCGCAGCGCCTCCGCCGCCAGGGCCAGGTCTTTTGACTGCTTGTAGTGGCCGAGGGCATCCAGGCAGCCCTGGAGGTGGTGCTGGTGCCTTGCACGGGTCAGGAGCGGGGGACCTGTGGACGGATCCCCACACCTGGAAGAGACAAGAGACATGGTCTCTCCCGATCTTTTGCAACCATCCCTTGAAGGGGAAATGGTTGTACTCATTTTGTAAGTACAGAAATTGAAGTTGGGCAGGCATGCGTCAGCCCACACTTGAACTTGGGCCAGGGGAGGCTAGGGGTGGGAGGGGCTCACACTGCAGCTAGCTCCATCTTCAGCGCCTCCAGGAGGCCGTCCAGCCCCTCTCCTGTCACACAGGACAGCAGCAGATGCGGGGGCATGTCAGGACCGGGACCTGGACCCTCCGTAGACAGCAGGTCTGACTTGTTCAGCACCAGGAGGAGGCGCTGGCTGCTGCTACTGCGACTCTGGGCTCCCGCAGAGGCCACGACAGTGGCCAGGAAATTGCAGCTGGAGGGAGAGGCCAGGTCAGAGGCATCCAGCATGGCCAGAATGAGGTCAGCTTGCTCCAGCCTGGGGGAGCAAGGAGGTCAACTGAGGGGGGGGGGTGGCGGGGGAGGTCCCAAATTGAGCAACTGAAGGCATTGGGCAGAGGGACAGTGAGAGGGGCCAGGCAGAGCACTTGGGGAGGTGTAGAGCGTGAGGTAGGGAAGGTAGGAGTAGAGCACCAGGGGTCCAGCAGACTGTCAGGGGCCCAAGCCGAGCACAGGGGTGCGACAGAGTAAGAGGGGCGGGGCACAGTGCAGGTGGTGGACAGAGCAAGAGGAGTGGACCACACAGGGCAAGGGGTGGGGCAGAGCTAGAGGGGTGGGGCACAGCAGAGGGGCGGGGCAGAGCAAAATGGGCGGGGCACAGCACAGTGCAGAGGGAGGAGCAGAGCAGATAGGGCCGGGCACAACACAGGGGTTGGGGCAGAGCAAGAGGGGCGGGGCACAGTACAGGGGTCGGGGCAGAGTGCCAGGGGCTGAACACAGCAAAAGAGGCTGGGTATAGCACAGGGAGTGGGGCGACCGTGAGGGGCGGGGCAGAGCGAGAGGGGCCGTACACACCACAGGGAGCACGAGGGGCGGGCAGAGTGCAGGGGGTGGGCAAAGCACAGGGAATGGGGTAGACTGCTAGGGACGGAGCGTTGGCCAGGGCGGGATAGAGCTCGAGAGGGCGGGGCGGAACGAGTGGGGTGGGCGGAGAGCTTAGGGATGAGGCCAAGTATGGGAGGGCCAGAGGCAGGACTTAATCAGAACCAAATCAAGTGCCAGGTGTGGTGGCTCACGCCTGTAATCCTAGCACTTTGAGAGGCCGAGGCAGGTGGATCACCTGAGGTCAGGAGTTACACACCAGCCTGGCTAACATGGTGAAACCTGTCTCTACTAAAAATACAAAAAACTAGCCTGGCATTGTGATGGGCACCTGTAATCCCAGACACTCGGGAGGCTGAAGCAGGAGAATCACTTGAACCCAGGAGGCGGAGGTTGCAGTGAGACGAGATCGTACCACTGCACTCCAGCCTGGGCAACGAGAGCGAAACTCGGTCTCAAAAAAAAAAAAATAAAGGCCGGGCACCGTGGCTCACGCCTGTAATCCTAGCACTTTGGAAGGCCGAAGCGGGCGGATCACGAGGTCAGACATTGGAGACCAACCTGGCCAACATGGTGAAACACTGTCTCTACTAACAATACCAAAAAAAAAAAAATGGCTGGGCATGGTGGCTCGCTCCTGTTATCCCAGCTACTTGGGAGGCTGAGGCAGGAGAATTTCTTGAACCCGGGAGACTGAGTTTGCAGTGAGCTGAGATTGTGCCACTGCACTCCAGCCTGGGCCACAGAGCAAGACTCCGTCTCAGAAAAAAAAGGAAAGAAAGAACCAAATAACTGAGATCCCTGCTTGCAAGAATTTAGCAGGTTCTCTGATTCAGGAAGAATGAAAAAATAAAGGCAACAGGGAGAAAAGGCAGAGGAAGGGCCCCTCCCCTCCCATCAACACCCTGCCTGCCCACCTCTCCCGGGCACGCCGCACACCCTCCTGCTCCACCGGCCCAACGCCCTCCCGCAACCCAGCCGTGTCGCTCAGCAGCACAGGAAATCCAGCCAGGTCGACTGGGGTCTCCAGCACGTCACGGGTGGTCCCTGGCTCCGGGGACACGATGGACACAGGCTTCCGACCTGGGAGAGGGTCAGAGGAAGAGGAAAGGGTGGAGACAAGGGAGCTCCTCCCCCAGGTTCTACCCCGCTTCAGACCTGAAGAATTCAATTACCCCGCTCTTGGCCCACCCCTGGCACTAGGCCCCGCCCCCTGCCCACCTCATACTCACTGAGCAGGTTCACTAGGCTGCTCTTCCCGGCATTGGGGGGTCCAGTGACCACTACGTGCGCCCCTGAGCGCAGCCTCTGCCCGCGCCTGGCATCTCGTAGATGTGCACCCAGGGCCACCTCCAGTGCCCGTACTTCGATGTTCGCTGTGGGTGAGGGAAGGCAGGCAGAGGAAGACAGTGAGGGGAGCATTTGGGTGTGAAACACGAGGCATCTTCCTTCCCCAACCCCAGGTGCCCACCTTGCTCCAGGACACCTTCTTCCAGGTTGTCATCCTCGCCGAAATCGATATAGGCCTCCACGTGGGCAAGAGCCTGGTGGGGCAGGGAGACCACAGATGGTGTTTGCACCCAGAAACCCACCGTCCCACACCCAATTTGTCCAGGTCCAGCCTGACTTCAGGGACCAGATTGGCGGCTCATAGGCCAGAAGCTTTCACGAAGGGAATGAATGAGGGATTGAGGCAGTCTCAAGCAGGGGTTGCACAGATGGGGTCTCGGAGGGAGGGAATGGACAAATGGGGGACTTGCTTTGGTGAGGGTCTCAGCCCAACCACGGCAGAGGTGGCCCAACTCCCCGTCCAGCTGCCTCAGGGCCTGCCGCCGCTGCGCCTCGGTTTCTGCGTGGATCAGATCTGCCAGGCCCTCCACTTCAGTTAGGTTCAGCTTCCCATGGGCGAACGCCCGCCTGGTGAACTCGCCCGCCTCCGCCGGTCGAAGCCCTGGCACGCTGCCTGCAGAAAGGTCCCGGTCTGAGACCCCCCCTGGTCCCCACCCAAGCCCATCCGGAGGAACCAAGCATCTCACCCAAGGCTGCAACTCACCCAAGGCCCGCAGGACACCGCTCACCACTGCCGGGCCTCCATGCACGTGGAACTCCACGCAGTCCTCACCGGTGAAACTCTTGGGACCTAATGTAGCAGAGAGCTGACAGTCAGGAGAACAGTACAGGCAGTGCAAACTCCTTGAAGGGGGAAACTGGGTGATGGGACCTACAGGAGGCTCGGAACCTGGGGACCCTCACCTGGGAACCAGAGCACCAGTGCGCGGTCCAGAGGCTCCCCAGAGCGGGGGTCGCTGAGCAAGCGCAGGCTGGCGTGGCGAGCCGGGGGCAGGTCTCGGGGTGCCGTGAGAATCCGGAGGGCGTGGCCGCTAGCGGGGCCGCTGGTCCGGATCACTGCGACGCCGCAGCGGCCTTGGCCGGAGCTTAGCGCGAAGATGGTGGCTCCAGAGCCGGGGACTGGTGCGCCGCTGTTCCTGCGCGTGCACAGTCTGGAACCGGAGGGGAGGCGAATCAGCGCGTCTGGGAGCCTCAGCCTCAGTGTCAAGTAGACCAAGGGCTAGATGATCGCGAGATGCCCCGGGGGCGGGGGGGTACTGCGGCTGGGGGATGCACAAATTGGAGGTTCTGAAAGCCGAAGGGTGACCGGATTAGGGACTCTGAGGCCAGGAGACCCAGATGAGGGCTCTGCGGCAGGGGGATGGATGATTTAGGCAGGGAAGAACGAGAATGAGTCCTCTGCCGCAGGGAATTGGGCCCCTAAAACCCAGGGAGTGGGTTTGGGGTCCAAGCAGCACCCCAATATGTCACACCCTTCCTCCGTAGCCCCACCTGCGAGGCCCACGTGCCGCTTGGGCCGCCAGGGTCCAAAGCCCCCGCCACATGGATTCACAACCTGCGACCCGCCTGCCCAACCCGCCTGTGTGGCTTCAAGGCTGGTCAGGACGCCCCGCCCACTCCGCGGCACCACTAGTAAAGTGCTCAATGATTCTCGACCATCATTGGGTGTCTTAGGATACGTCCCGCCCACAGTCTGAAGATCTTCGCTTCCATTGGCTGGTGCAAGGGAGAGAGGGCGGGGACTCCATGGAGGTGGGTGTAGCGAAATGCTGTTCCCTGGGCAACATGAGACCGAATTTTTAGGGTCCTAGCGCAGCGAGGCTGACAATAGGAGCGAGGAATGGAAGAAAGGACAGAGCTTGGCACAGGGCGGTGCAAATTACAGCGAGGTGAGGTTTTTGAGTCCCGCATTTTCCATCTGCTCACTCTGCAGCCTTAGGCTTGGCAAGGACCTTTGTGAGCTTAGTTTTCCCGTTCAAGAAAGGAGGGACTACACCTCTTCGCGTCCAGGTTCGGACCGGAAGCTCAGAGCATCTCAGTGACCGAGAGGGATGAGTACTGGAGAACCCAAGACCTGGCCCAGGGAAAATCCTGCCCAAACTTCTGGAAAGATTCCTACTTGCTTTTCCCGGAACTCTCCAGATTATCGCCCCTCCCCAGCATTGCCTCTTGCCGTTCCCTCGGATTCGGATGCCCTTCCTCATTTTACAAACTCATCTTCAAGGCCTAGCTCCAAGATCCCCTCCTCCAGGAAGTCTTCCTGGAGCCCCCAGCACAGCCCTCTCTCCACTGTGGACTGGCTTGGCCCTCTCTCTCTCTCTCTGGCCCAGTCTGCACCTGCAGAGCCAAGTGTCCGGGCAGTCTCTGGCTCCCCGAAAGCCAGAAAGGGAAGCCTCGGAGATTGCTTTCAGGTTAACCCAGGACAGCACTGAACCGCGGAATAAAGCGCTGATGGTGGAATTCCAGGCACTGGTTGGGCGGGGTCTCTGAGAGCGCTTTCGCACGGCGGATTTTCTGTTTCTGGATCAGAGCGGGCGGGCGGCGCACTTGCGAGTTAAGAAAAATCTGTCGGACAGAATAGCATTCTAACCCTCCCTTACCTCGCCCTGCTCAATATTTTTATTTACTTTATTATTTTATTTTATTTTTGAAACAGTCTCACTCTGTCGCCCGAGTTGGAGTACAGTGGCGCGATCATGGCTCTCGCAACCTCCAACTCTTGGGCTCAAGGGATCCGCCCGCCTCAGCCTCCGGAATAGCTGGGACCACAGGCTGGAGAGCCACCACGCCCAGCTAATTTTCTTGTGTGCATAAATATATATATATTTGGTAGAGACGGGAATCTCGCGCTGTCGGCAGGCTGGAGTGCAGTGCCATGGTCTCGGCTCACTGCAACCTCCGCCTCCCGGGTTCAAGCGATTCTCCTGCCTCAGCCTCCCTAGTAGCTGGGATTACAGGAGTGTGCCAGCATGCTTGGCTAATTTTTTTATATTTTTAGTAAAGACAGGGTTTCGACATGTTAGCCAGGCTTGTCTCAAACTCCTGGTCTCAGGTGATTCACTCACCTCAGCCTCCCAACGTGCTGGGATTACAGGCGTGAGAGCCACTGTGCCCGGCCAAGACTTTAATATTTTAAGTTGTAAAACAGGAACAAACGATGACATATTCCATCTGCCAGTCTCTAGTTGTTTCACCTGTAACAAGTATACAGCAAGTGCCTATTGTGTGCTCGCACTGAAAACCAGACCTGGGCCCTGGCCCTGGCCCCTACCCTCCCGGGGCTTTCTTTCAGTCCAACAGACGGCTACTCAGGATGGTCAGGGGTTGGCCGAATGCCAGATAAAACGCAGGTCACCCAGCTAAATGTGAATTTCAAATAAACAATGAATAATGTGAGGGCCAGACGCGGTGGCTCAGGCCTGTAATCCCGCCCTTTGGGAGGCCACGGCGGGCAGATAACGAGGTCAGGAGTTTGAGACCAGCCTGGCCAACATGGTGAAACCCCATCTCTACTAAAAATACAAAAATTAGCTGGGTGTGGTGGTGTGTGCCTGTAATCCCAGGTACTCGGGAGACTGAGGCAGAATTGCTTGAACCCGGGAGGTGGAGGTTGCAGTGAGCCGAGATTGCACCACTGCACTCCAGCCTGAGCCACAGAGCTAAACTCCGTCTCAAAAATAAATAAATAAATAAATAATGTTTTAGTACTACTATGTCCTATGTATACCGGAGACATAGAAACATTTATGTATGAAGCCGGGCGCGCTGGCTCACGCGTGTAATCCCAGCACTTGGGGAGGCCGAGGCGGGAGGATCATGAGGTCAAGAGATAGAGACCGTCCTTGCCAACACGGTGAAACTCCGTCTCTACTAAAAAAAATACAAAAATTAGCTGGGCGTGGTGGTACCCGACTGTAGTCCCAGCTACTCGGGAGGCTGAGGCAGGAGAATTGCTTGAACCCAGGAGGCGGAGGTGGCAGTGAGCAGAGATCGTGCCACTGCGCTACAGTCTGGTGCCTGGCAACAGAGCGAGGCTCTGTCTCAAAAAGAAAAAAAGAAAGAAACATTTATGTATGTATGAATTTGAGACAGGGTATCATTCTGTCGCCCTGGCTGGCGTGCAGTGGTGAAATCTGGGCTCACTGCAGCCTCGACCTCCTAAGCACAAGCGATTCTCCTTCCTCAACCTCCCGAGTAGCGCCCCCGCCATCACGCCTGGCTAACACTTATTGTTTTATCTGAAATTTACATTTAACTTTATTTGCTTGACAACTCTATGGGATCCTCTCCGCGGTTACATCCGGAAGAGAGTCGGTGTTAACTGGACAAAGAGTGTATGAGGAGTGTTCTAGGCTGCTAAGTGATGCGTGCGAAAATCCTAAGGCAGGGCTTGCTACAATTATCTATCACAGCTCTACTGGGCTGGTTGAAGTTATTGTCACCAGGAATCTTCCCCAACCAGGCCCGCCCTTCCCACGTCCTCTCTTAGTCAAATCATGCCCATCTCACATTCCAAACCGCGTCTCCAGGGTCCGGAGTTTGCAGATGGGGAAACTGAGGCTCCGAGGCTGGGACCAGAAGGAAGCATGGGTGGGGTCGAATTGAAGAATGCACAATCAGTGCGGGCGGGGACCAGCAGCAGAGAGCGACGTGGGCGGGCGAGAACGAAACCCAGAAAACAACACGGGCGGAAACGAGAACCAAAGAGCTAGGCGAGCGAACTCAGCTGAGAACTCGAGAGTGACGTGCACCCGGCGAGGAAGGAAAATCGAGGTTCGGCTCGGGCGGGGACGAGAAGCAGCTCTCTGGCGAGCGAGGAAGGCGGCCGGCGCGGGCGGGCGCGGCCTTTGTCTCCTCCTCCCGCGCGCTCGGCGGCGACACCGGCCCCATGAGCCCGTGGCCCCCTGGCGCCCGGGCCGTCCGTAGCCCCTGACCTGACCTATCCTCGCCATGGCCGAGGCCGCCTCCGGCGCCGGGAGCACGTCCCTGGAGGGCGAGCGTGGCAAGAGGCCGCCGCCGGAGGGCGAGCCTGCAGCCCCGGCGTCCGGAGTTCTGGGTATGTGTGTGGCGGCTGGACCAGACAGGGTTGCAGGTGCATGGGGAGCCCGCGTCGACTGCACAGGGAGGAGGATCGAGGTCAAACGTCCCTGGCGTGGTGTCTGGATGAGGGGCCGGCTCCTCCCGGCATTGCGGCTGCGGCCCGGCGGGCGGGGCTGGGACGGTGCATCGGGCTGGGGTCCCGGAGCGGAGATGGGGACACGCCCCTCCGAAAGCCCCAGCCTTGGGCTGCGTCCCGCCACCGGGGGGGCTGTGGGATCGCGGCGGGGCAGGGATGCGCTTGAGAGAGCCTCTCCGCAAAGAATAGGGAATCATACGGTCCTGGGTTCAAATCCCAGCTCGACTGTGTGACCTTGGGCGCGTGACTTAAACGCTCTGGGCCTCAGTTTCCTCACCTGTGAAATGGGAGTAAGAACCGCACCCAGTTCCTGGGGCTGCTGCAAGGACGGCGCTGTCATAATGTGGTGAAGCGCTCAGGGCTGCTAGTGAGCGCCCCATCGATTGTGGTTTTGGAGGCGGAGCTGGGCCTCAAGAATGAGTAAGATTTGTAAGGGAGGGCCTAGGGGGAAGGGCATTTCTGGAGGAAGGCCTGGCTGGTGCAAGGACGTGGAGGGAGGAAAAAACAAGCCAAGGCCAGAGCGCCTGGGGCCTTGGATGCCAGGCGGAGTGGTGAGGAGCGCTGGCGGGGACCAGAGGGACCGAGACTGGAGGCTGGGGTCTCGATCCCATTGTGGCCTGACCCGGGCCTGCTACGCCGCCCCCCAGATAAGCTTTTCGGGAAGCGGCTCCTGCAGGCGGGTCGCTACCTGGTGTCCCACAAGGCGTGGATGAAGACGGTGCCTACAGAGAACTGCGACGTGCTGATGACCTTCCCAGGTACCCACGCCCGCCCGCCCAGTACCCAGATGCGGCTCTCCTGAGCTCAGCTTCCCAGAGCGGGAATATGTAGGAGGCCTTGGGCCCCCTCGTGGCAAGAGCCATCGGTCCCTGTGCCCCTTGGCAGACACAACCGATGACCACACGCTGCTATGGCTGCTGAACCACATCCGCGTGGGCATCCCCGAGCTCATCGTGCAAGTCCGCCACCACCGCCACACGCGTGCCTACGCCTTCTTTGTCACCGCCACGTATGAGAGGCGAGTCCCCTGTCCCCGGCCTCTCGCTGAGCCTGCCACCCGGCTCCCCGCTCTACCAAGTGCCAACCATGCTATCCAGCCGCCCTGCGTTTGTCCCAAAGGTCCAGGATGGTGGGCTGGGGCCTCCTTGTGAGCCCACCTCCTCCACCTTCTTCACAGCCTACTCCGAGGGGCCGACGAGCTGGGTCTGCGCAAGGCAGTAAAGGCCGAATTTGGCGGGGGCACCCGCGGCTTCTCCTGCGAGGAGGACTTTATTTATGAGAATGTGGAGAGCGAGCTGCGCTTCTTCACCTCCCAGGTGAGGCCGGCTCTGGGCCCCCACAAACATCCTGTATCTATTAGTTCCCTGAGCTCACGCCCTCTTCCTCGCAGGAACGCCAGAGCATCATCCGCTTCTGGCTGCAGAATTTGCGTGCCAAACAGGGAGAGGCGCTCCACAACGTGCGCTTCCTGGAGGACCAGCCAATCAGTGAGCAGGGCGGGACCAACACCAATCACAGGCAGAGAGTAGGGTGGAGCTCTTCAAAGGCAGCCTATCGGAGCAGGAGGGCGGGGCCTAGCACCAACCAGTCAGGGATTGGCAAAGGAAACCAATGAGTTAAAGGGGTGTGGTCTTAGTGAAAGGGTGGAGCTTATCTCCTGAGTTGGGTGGAGCTCTTAGAGGACAGCTTATCAGGGAAGGAGGGCAGGGCCTAGGTCCAACAAGTTAGGGGTTGGCAAAAAGTTGGGAAACCAATGAGCTGAGGGGGCGTGGCTTTAGCCAAAAGGTGAGACTTATTTCTGGGAGCTGGGTACGGAAGAGGCCCTTTTCTGAGTCTGGGATAAGATGGAGGCAGGGACTATGGACAGCCCTCCACTTACTGCATGGTGCGGCTCTGGACCTTGGTTTCCCCACTAGGAAACCAGCCACCCAAGTTCACCTTCCAACAGCAACTTTTTACCATTCCTCAGATGTTCGGGTCCACAAACTGAGCTTTATTTAAAACATGGGAATAGGCACGGTGGCTCACGCCTGTAATCCCAATACTTTGGGAGGTCGAGGCAGGAGCATGACTTGAGCCCAGGAGTTCGAGGATGCAGTGCGCTACGGTAGCGCCACTGTACTTTGTCCAGCCTGGATGACAGACCAAGACCCTGTCTCAAATTAAACAAATACATAGAGTAAAAAATAAAAACATGGCTCCTCACCAGGACCCCACCGTCCCGGTTCCCTTGCATCCTCCCTGCCTGCACCAGCACCTCCTGGAGAATCAGATTTTTTATCCATCTAGAACTCCTCCCCTGGAAAGAGCTCTAGAGGTTTAAGAGCAGGCAAAAAGCTGTGACTTGGGCTTCAGACAAAGGGGGCTAGCCAGGCTGGGCTCTGGTGGAGGAGCAGGTATCACCTGTGCTCCTCTATCCACAGTCCCCGAGCTGGCGGCCCGTGGAATCATTCAGCAGGTGTTCCCTGTCCACGAGCAGCGTATTCTGAACCGCCTCATGAAGTCATGGGTGCAGGCCGTGTGTGAAAACCAGCCTCTAGGTGCGGCCTGGGCTGGGGGGATCGGAGGGAGTCACAGCAGACAGGCAGGGGGTGACTGGGACCCTCTTGTCCTCTGGCAGATGACATCTGTGATTACTTTGGTGTGAAGATTGCTATGTACTTCGCCTGGCTGGGCTTCTACACATCAGCTATGGTATATCCAGCTGTCTTCGGGTCTGTCCTGTACACATTCACAGAGGTTGATCAGGTACTGGGAGGGGACCTTGCAAGGCCTGGGGGACCCAGAGGTGCCCTCCTTTCTGGATTGGCACAGACAATTACTCAACTCTCTTCTGCTACTCAGACAAGCCGGGATGTTTCCTGCGTGGTCTTTGCTCTCTTCAATGTGATCTGGTCAACACTTTTCCTAGAGGAATGGAAGCGGAGAGGGGCTGAGCTGGCATACAAGTGGGGGACGCTGGACTCACCTGGAGAAGCCGTGGAGGAGCCACGCCCCCAGTTCAGGGTCAGTTGGGGGCTGAGTCCAGGGTCATGGAGACCGGGTAAAGGTAAATGGTTGGGGGCACTGCAGAAGCAAGGTGTGAAATACGGTTGCTCCGTCAAAGAGGGTATGCCAAACCAAGGCGGGCTCTGTGTGTTTTCCAAGGGGATGGATTTGAGGGACTGGGAACAGTGGCCTAAGTGGGTGACCCGAGAAGGAATGATGGAGGGAAATTGAGTTCTGAGGATAGAGAGGGGTGCGGGAGACAGAGGTGGCCTCTCTGAGCTCGTGCTGAACCTGCCCTTGCCCACCTTTAGGGTGTGCGCCGCATCAGCCCCGTCACACGAGCGGAGGAGTTCTACTACCCGCCTTGGAAGCGGCTGCTCTTCCAGCTGCTCGTCAGCCTCCCCCTATGCCTGGCATGCCTCGTCTGTGTCTTCTTGCTCATGCTTGGCTGCTTCCAGCTGCAGGTGACCCCCGTACCTCCACCCGCCCTGTCCTTGATGCCCAGCTCCACCTTGGAGCTGTCCTGTAGCCGGGATGAGCCCTGAACCCCCTTCTCCCACAGGAGCTGGTGCTGAGCGTAAAGGGTTTGCCCCGTCTCGCCCGATTCCTGCCTAAGGTCATGCTGGCCCTGCTTGTCAGTGTGAGTGCCGAGGGCTACAAGAAGCTCGCCATCTGGCTCAACGACATGGGTACGCGCTGCCAGGGTGTCCTAGGGAGGAAGGTCCCCACTGACCCTTAGGATCCCTTCCACCCTTGAGGGGACGCAGCTGCCCTCTCACTCCTCCCCTCGGCTTCTAGAAAATTACCGGCTGGAGAGTGCCTATGAGAAGCACCTCATCATCAAAGTTGTCCTGGTGAGTTGCCACCATTGGGCAGGCAGGGGGACAGAAAGGAAGCTGTGGGATCTGTATGGGGACACAGGGAAGGCTCCTGGCAGTGGGATGGGGGTGCAGGGTGACGACCGCCTGCCTCCTTCCTGCAGTTCCAGTTTGTCAACTCGTACCTGAGCCTCTTCTACATCGGTTTCTACCTCAAGGACATGGAGCGCTTGAAAGAGGTGAGACTCCTGTCCCAGCGGCAGTCCCCCCTGCCCCCATGGTGGCCAGCGAGGGGCCAGACATGGCAGCAAGGGGTCCAAGGGCTCTCCAGCCCCTCCCTCCCCGCCTCCATCCTTCTCTCCTGTCTGTCCATCCGTCCGTTGTCTGTGCGTCTTCTCTCTGCCTGTCGTCCTCTCCATCTGTCCGTCCATCTGTCCGTCGGTCCCTTCACAGCTCCTGCTCGTCCTGTCCCTGTCCCAGAGCCTCGAGCGGCAGCTGCGGGCGGTGCTGGTCCCGCTCGCGGCCCTGCGGTTCCGCCTGCTCCTCCTCTCCCTCCGGGGCCTCCTGCTCGCGGCCCGGGCCAAAGTACGGGCAGGTGGCGAGCCCGCGGGGCCTCGCCGGGGTGGGCAGCGTGGTTTGTGCCGGGAGCCGGGCGCACCAAGCTGAAGGCGCATGCGCGGAGCAGGGTGTGTGGGGAGGGGGGTGTCCGCAAGCCCGTGGTGGGACGGAGACCTGCTGGGCCTGCCCGGGAGGTCCGCGAGGAGCGCTGCGCGGCTGTGGTTTGTGGCTGAGCGCTGGGGCCCTCGCGTCCAGGTGCGTCCAAAGCAGCGGAGTTAGGAACCGCGTTCGGTGTGTGTCTGGGCAAGGTGCTCCGGCGGGGCTCCCGGGGAGAATGAGTACCCCAATCCCGGTGCCCCGCTTGCCCCCCACGCGCTTCTCTCCGCCCCTTTCCTGCCCCCAGATGCTGGCCACACTGCTGATCACCCGCCAGTTCCTCCAGAACGTGCGTGAGGTCCTGCAGCCGCACCTGTACCGCCGTCTGGGCCGCGGCGAGCTGGGCCTGCGGGCCGTCTGGGAGCTGGCCCGAGCCCTGCTTGGCCTCCTGAGCCTCCGGCGCCCTGCGCCCCGCCGCCTAGAACCCCAGGCCGATGAGAGCGGGGGCGGCGCGGGGGGCCGCAGGTGCCTCAGCGGGGGCTGCGGGGCGCCGGAGGAAGAGGAGGAGGAGGAGGTGGCGCCGGTGGAGCGGCGGCGGGCGGGGGAAGGTGGGGAGGAGGGGGACGGGCCTCCCGGGGGCAAGGAGGAGGACGAGGAAGACGACAATGAGGAGGAGGAAGAGGAGGACGAGGAGGATGAGGAGGAGGGCGAGGAAGGGGGCCTCCTGGACTGCGGGCTGCGGCTGAAGAAGGTCAGCTTCGCTGAGCGCGGGGCGGGGCGGCGTCGGCCCGGCCCAAGCCCGGAGGCCCTCCTGGAGGAGGGGAGCCCCACCATGGTGGAGAAGGGGCTGGAGCCGGGCGTGTTCACCCTGGCCGAGGAGGACGACGAGGCAGAGGGGGCTCCCAGCAGCCCTGAACGGGAGCCCCCAGCCATCCTGCTCCGCCGGGCCGGGGGCGAAGGCCGAGACCAGGGGCCCGATGGGGGCCCGGACCCGGAGCCCGGCTCCAACAGCGACCCGACACGAAGGCAGAAGCGGCAGAACCGGTCGTCTTGGATTGATCCACCCGAAGAGGAACACTCTCCTCAGCTCACCCAGGCGGAGCTGGAGAGCTGTATGAAGAAGTACGAGGTGAGGAGGGGGCGGGGCCTCAGGGGGCGGGGCACACAGTCAGAGGGTGGAGGCCGTAGGGGTGGGGGGGAGGGGGTGGCGGTAACAGGGCCCTTGATGTTGGGATGCTGCAGGAGGGGAAGGCCTAGCCAGATGGAGGAAGCCTCTGGACTGGCCAAGGATGGAACAGGCCCTGGGTCCACATGAGGGAGGCGGGCTCGATGGGAGGAAGATTGTCCTAGAGAAGAGGCCTCCAGGTCTGAGGCCCGCCCACCCGCAGGACACGTTCCAGGACTACCAGGAGATGTTTGTGCAGTTCGGCTACGTCGTGCTCTTCTCGTCCGCCTTCCCCCTGGCAGCACTGTGCGCCCTGGTCAACAACCTCATTGAGATCCGCAGCGACGCCTTCAAGCTGTGCACCGGGCTGCAGCGGCCCTTTGGCCAGCGCGTGGAGAGCATCGGCCAGTGGCAGGTAGGGGGAAGCCAAGAGCTCCAAGCTGAGGCCCAGAGGGAGCCCGGATGCAGCTGGGAGGAGGCTGGGGTCTGGGGAGGCCGGCAGGACTCCACCTGAGCCCTCCTCCCGCCCTGCAGAAGGTGATGGAGGCTATGGGTGTCCTAGCGATTGTGGTCAACTGCTACCTAATCGGCCAGTGCGGGCAGCTGCAGCGCCTCTTCCCCTGGCTGAGCCCGGAGGCAGCCATCGTATCCGTGGTGGTGCTCGAGGTGGGGCTGGTGACAGGGTCAGGGGCAGGGGCAGGGGCAGCTGGGAGGCGGGAGGGCGGTCCCAGCGTCTGCAGCCTCCTCTCTGTGCCACCCCTGCAGCACTTTGCTCTGCTCCTCAAGTACCTCATCCACGTGGCCATCCCAGACATCCCGGGCTGGGTGGCCGAGGAAATGGCCAAGCTGGAGTACCAGCGCCGCGAGGCCTTTAAGGTAGGGGGGCCAGGCTGGGCCCGGTTTTCTCATGGTGGGGCTGCTGGTAGGTCTCTGATCTTGGTGGCCAATTCCTCAGCGTGAGGGCAAATGCAGAGACTGCATAGAACTGGGTATAATAATCAGTGCTCCCTGGCTGGGTGCAGTGGCTCAGTCCTATAATCCCAGTGCTTTGGGAGGCTGAGGTAGGAGGATTGTTTGAGCCCAGGAGTTCAAGGCTGCAGTGAGCTGTGATCGCGCCACTGCAGTCCAGCCTTGGTGATGGAGCAAGATCCTGTTTCTAAAAAGAGTAATAATAAGTAATAATAACTAGTGCTCACAACAGGTCCAGTGGCTTCTGGAATCCTGGCAGCATCCAGGACCAGGCTGGCCCTTCAGAACCTTCTGCCATCTACCAGCTTGCCTGACTGCACCCTGTTAGGGGGACAGGGACACAGCAGATGCTTCCTAGAAGCCCAGCTCCTTCCACATTCCTCAGAAAGCTACAGAATGGGCCAAGGAGCTTCCCAGTGCCTGCACAGGGAACATTCCTCGAGGATGACAATGGCCTGTCTCTGCACTGTCCCTGTAACCTCTAGCTACAGTGAGCATGTTGAAGTGGGGCTGCTGCGAGCAGGAAACTGACTTTTTGTTTTATTGAGCATGAATGCATTGAAGTTTACATTGACAGAGTATCGCACATGGCTACCTGGCTATAGTCAGCCACGGGTTTTTTTGTTTGTTTTTGTTTGTTTTTTGAGAGAGAGAGAGAGTCTCTCTCGCTCTGTCATCCGGGCTGGAGTGCAGTGGCACAATCTCAGCTCACCGAAATCTCCCCCTCCCAGGTTCAAACAATTCTCGTGCCTCCCAAATAGCTGGGACTACAGACACATGCCACCACACCCCGCTAACTTTTATATTTTTAGTAGAGATGGGGTTTCACCATGTGGGCCAGGCTGGTCTCGAACTCCTGACCTCAAGTGATCTGCCCCCTTCACCCCGCCTCCCAAAGTGCTGGGATTATAAGCGTGGGATACTACACCCGGCCTTCAGCCACAGTTCTGTCTTGCCTGTTCTCTGGGAAGCAGGTTCTCTGGGAGGCAAGGTCTCTTGCCTGTTCTCTGCTTGAGGCTCAGATTTGGTTTCCATTTTACCAATTCCTAAGATGCTGTCTGGCACACAGCCGGGGACAGAGTTGATGTCCAGTGAATGTTTGTTTTCAATTCCCAGAAAGTACCGGCGTGGGTCCAGGGATTCATTCAGTTGCACCCAGTAAGCCTCAGAATCTCTCTCCATTTCCCCAGAGAACCTCAGTTGGACCCAGGAAGCAGTTGGCACCCAATAAGTGATTGGATATCTCCCACTTCTGCAGAGAGCTCCAGTGCAGGCCCAGAGATGCAGTTGGTGCCCAGTAAGCTTTTTTTTTGAGACAGAGTCTTGCTTTGTCGCCCAGGCTACAGTGGAATGGCACGATCTCAGCTCACTGTAACCTCCATCTCCTGGGTTCAAGCAATTCTGCCTCAGGCTCCCACGTAGCTGGGATTTACAGGCTTGTGCCCCCATGGTCAGCTTTTTTTTTTTTTTTTTTGAGATGGACTCTCTCTGTTACCCAGGCTGGAGTCCAGGGGCATAATCTCAGGTCACTGCAACCTCTGCCTCCTGGGTTCAAGTGATTCCTCTGCTTCAGCCTCCTGAGTAGCTGAAGCCACCACACCCAGCTAATTTTTATATTTTTAGTAGAGATGGGGTTTCACCATATTGACCAAGCTAATCTTGAACTACTAACCTTGTGATCTGCCCGCCTCAGCCTTCCAAAGTGCTGGGATTACAGGCATGAGCCACCATGCCCAGCCACTCAGCTAATTTTTATATTTTTGGTAGAGACAGGGTTTCACCATGTTAGCCAGGCAGGTCTCCCAACTCCTGGCCTCAAGTGATCTTGGCCTCCCAAAATGCTGGGATTACAGGCGTGAGCCACCATGCCGGGCCCCAATAAGCATTTAAGCCTCCCTGACTTCCACAGGGAGGCCCGGCATGTGCCTGGGAATGCAGTTGGCACCGAATAAGTGATTGGATCGCTCTCACTTCTGCAGGGAGCCCCCAGTGTGGTTGCAGGGATGCAGTTGGAGCCCAACACACATTAAGTATCCCCCACTTCCACAGAGAGCCCTGGCATGCACCAGCCTCGGCTGGCACCTGCTAACACCCTTTCTTAGTCCTGTAATGGCTTGACTCTACCTGCAGAGACACGAACGTCAGGCCCAGCACCGATACCAGCAGCAGCAGCGCAGGCGTCGGGAGGAGGAGGAGCGACAGCGCCACGCGGAGCACCACGCCCGGCGAGAGCATGATGTTGGTGGCCGGGAGGAGGCGAGGGCCGAGGGCTCCGGGCTGGACCCCGCCACCTCCTCTGAGAAGGCCTCTGCCAAGACCAAGGGCAGCACTGCAGGTGGCCACGGGCCTGAACGGCCCAAGCGCCCAGGCTCCCTGCTAGCGCCCAACAACGTCATGAAGTTGAAGCAGATCATCCCACTGCAGGGCAAGTTCCTCTCGTCGGGGGCCACATCCTCACTGGCCGCTGCAGGGGCCGGGGCCACCGCCCGGCCTCCCCCTGCCCAGTCGCCCACGGGCAGCGACACCCGCCTGCCTGCCTTCCTCAGCTTCAAGTTCCTCAAGTCACCCGAGACCCGGCGGGACTCAGAGCGCAGCCACTCGCCGCCCAAAGCCTTCCACGCCAGCAAGCTCTTCCCCTTTGGTGGCACCCGGGCCGAGCCTGGGTCCAACGGGGCGGGCGGGCAGGCCCGGACGGACGGGACCCCCAGCAGTGGCAGCAGCCGGGTTCAGAGGAGTGGGCCGGTGGACGAGGCCATGGCTGAGGAGCTGGAAGCCCCCCGGCCCGAAGAGGAAGGCTCAGGTCACAAGCTTTAACTCGGGGGTGGGGACGCCAGGCCGGCTTTGGGGGTAGGGTAGGGTGGCCAGGCCTGGGGAGAGGGGCTGAAGGGGACAGAGGAGGCCCGGTCATGGGTCCTGGCGGGGACCTGGGTCTGTGGCACACGGAGCATCTCAGTGAAAGCCTGATTAGTGTCTCCAGGGCCTTTGTTAGCCCGGAGCCCTGTGCCTGACCCTCCCAGGGAGGGATGCCAAAGCCCCTTGTCCCAGGACTGTACCCAGGGACCCCCCACCATGCTCCAGTGCCAGGAGAGATGAGGGAGGCCCGTTTCCCATCCAGCTGGCCCTTCTCCTGCTCCAGCTCACTCTGGGGGGGGGACTGGACCCCCCCAGGCCTCTATGCAAATCCATACCCTGCAGCCCAGCTGTTCAGGAAGGCCTTCCTTGGAGGTGGGGCTGGAACTGCCCACCCAGGGAGCTCCCACATGTGCTGAAGCAGAGGTGCAGGCCTCACCCCTACCATCCCACCACCTCCCCTGCCCCAGTTCCAGCCTGAGCTCCAGCAGCTCGTCCCTAGGAGCCCACCAGGTAGCAGCTGCAGCACAAGGGCCATAGGTCAGAAGCCAGAGGGACTTCCTCAAACTGTCCTCCCCCTGTGACTGGGAGGGGCCGTGCCCAGAGGCAGGGTATGCACCGGAAGCTGCCCAGGGGGCCGCCCACCTCAGTCTCAGATCAGAAGCAATAAGGCCTTTACGTGCCTGGAAGCCCGGGAGGGACTGTGGGCAGGGTCGCCAGCCCGGCGGGGTCCGGCGGGGGCGGCATCCCCCCGGAACGGCCCCTCTCGCCTCCGCAGGGACAGCGCTGGCCCCCGTGGGCGCCCCTGCCCTCCGTACCCGCCGCAGCCGGAGCCCCGCGCCGCCGCCGCCAATGCCGCTGCCCCGGCCTCCGACGCCGCCCGCCGGCTGCTGGCAGTGGGACGGGCCCTGGGGCTGCGGGGGCGAGGGCGCCGCCCCCCGCCAGGCCCTGGCCGCCGCCGAGTGCCCGCCCTGTGCCATGGCCGGGCCCCCAGCCGCCCCCCAGCCCCTGCCGGGGGACGCCAGCTTTTACAGCCTCCTGCCCCCACCGCTGCCGCCCACCTCGGAGCCCCCCGAGACCCCGGCGCCCTCACCCAGCCCCAGCCCCAGTCCCCAGGCCGTGTGCTGGCCCAGCGGCTGGCATTAGCTCTGCCCGCCCTGCCTTCTCTTCTCATATGCAATATCAGTCATTCACAGGGGCAGCCGGCCCCCAAAATGCAAGATGCGCTTGCTTCAGCCCCCACGGCCCCAGTATTGGCCGGCGCCCCCCATCTGCCGTTTTCCTTTCAACCAGGATGAGGGAATTGAAAGGAAACCCACAAAACCAACAGAAAACACAAACACACACACACGCACACACACAGAACAGGCGATTATTTATTTGTTTTTAATTTATTTTGTCATATTTTTGTAAAACGGCAGAAATGCAATAAAAAGTATATTTCAACAGTGCCCAAGGTCAGAGCGGTGGAAAAGGGAGTGGAGGTGGGGGGAGTCTGAGTGGCTGGGGCCTGGGTTGGGCGTCACCCTTCCCCCTCCCACGTCCTGGTACAGGCTGGCTTGACCCGTGGGGGCCTCCTCCCAAAAACTGGGTCTCGGCCACAGATGGAAAACTCCAGGCTGTACCGCCTCTGAGACGGCCCAGATTTGGAGGCCAACTTCAGTTCTGGCTTCAGCCACTAGACAAAGGAAGAAATCTCAAAGTGCTGAAAAGAGGCGGTAATATGTGCACGGGCCAGGTCCTGAATAAGCCTCCTTCTCAAACAGGGACAAGGCAGCGGTTTGCAAGACGCCTTTTCTGGCATGCCCACCTCCCAGAATGTCATCTTGGGGGAGCCAGGGCTGGCAGGAAAAGCTTATGGCATGAACATCCGAAGGCACCTGGCACCTGAGCCCCCTGCAGCCCCCAAATTGCCATACTGAGGAAATGGCATATTTGGGTATCCCTGGAACATACAGAGTAGTATTGGGATGAAGTGGGGATGTCCCACTGTGCGATGGACGTCAGACTCAAGTCACTGGGACTCTTGTCTTATGACTCAGGAACGTGGCCTCTCAGACCCTGACGTTTGTCAGGAAGAAAAGGACAAATGTGTCCACATGCAAAAATGTAAGGCTCAGGCCCATGTGGCCGCACTGCAGGGCTGGGCCAGAGGGCCCGGCTGGGGGCCAGTGTAGGGGGCACTTCAGGAGTCTGTGGGGAAGTCAGAGTTCACTGGAGGCAGGAGAATAGTCTATGCAAAGGCGGAGAACATGGAAGACAGAGTTTGGGGGAACAGTGGGGTGAGGGGGGGCCCCAAAGACAGGAGGGGTAGGCAGAGGCTGGCTCAGGGGCCCGGTGTCCTCCCACAGGCAGTGGGAGCCACAGAGGGTGTATGCCAGACAGGGCATGTCCTGACAGACCCAGGGGTTCTAGGGTGAGGCCACAGGGAGGCAGAGCTGGGGTACAGCTGTGAGACCCCATCTGAGAGAGCAGAGGCAGGGGAGCCCTACAGAGACATGGGCAGACAGTACAGGCAGGAAATGGCCCCCAACCACTCAAAGTGGAAACCGAGGGCTGGAGAGGTGTAGACAGGATGAGGGGAAGGGCAGGGGTATTCCCTGCTCCCACTCTGGCTCCTGGCCTTGGAAGCTGAAGTCCCACCATCTCAGTCACTCACAGATGGACACCACAGGCCTGCCCAGGTCACACCAACCCTGGGGACTGGGACTCCACACCTGGCCTGGAGCTTCCAGGGCACTCAGCCCAACCCGCACCACTGACCACTGTCAAGTGTGCATTTCCTGACCACTTGCCCTGTGACCACACAGGCCCTAAGAGAACGTACCCTACCCCTGTGGTGTAGACACTGCTGAGGGCTGAGAGGCACAGGTGGGTGGCCGTGCTAGGCTGGGGCCGGCTCAGCCACTCCTTGTGTAGGATGAGAGCCCTTCCTGGCACCATCTGTCCTTGGGAGGCCAGAAGGTCTGACACAGGCAGGGACTTCCAGTGGAATCTGGGGCAGGCAGACCCTCCATAGCCTGGCGTCTCTGCTGGCTCTGTGGCCCAACCCCACATACCATCCCAATGCCCTCAGGCTCAGCTCTCAAAACCAAGACCTCTGCCAGGCACAGTGGCTCATGCCTGTAACCCCAGTACTTTGGGAGGCTGAGGAAGGCAGACGGCTTGAGCCCAGGAGTTTGAGACCAGCCTGGGCAACATGGCAAAACCCCGTCTCTACAAAAAACTTTTAAAAAACTACCCAGGTGGCCGCGCTCGGTCCCAGCACTTGGGGAGGCCAAGGCAGGCAGATCACCTGAGGTCAGGAGTTTGAGACCAGCCTGGCTAACATGGCAAAACCCTGTCTCTACTAAAAATAGCAAAATTAGCTAGGTGCTGGAGCAGGCGCCTGTAATCCCAGCTACTTGGGAGGCTGAGGTAGGAGAATCACTTGAACGTGAGAGGTGGAGGTTGTAGTGAGCCCAGATCTTGCCACTGCATTCTAGCCTGGGCAACAGAGCAAGACTCCATCTCAAAAAAAAAAAAAAAAAAAAAATTAGCCATGCATGGTGGCATGCACCTGTGATCCCAGCTACTTGGAGGCCGAGGTGGGAGGAATGCTCGAGGTCAAGGCTGCAGTGAGCTATGATTACACCACTGCACTCCAGCCTGGGCAACAGGGTGAGACCCTCTCCAAAGAAACAAAACAAAACAAACAAAGGAAAACTGAGACCCTCCCCTAAGTGGGGCAATTAGGGGAGAGGCGGTGTTTCCCCAGCCCTAGGCTTAGAGGTCAGGGCCACAAACCTTCTGCCCAGAGACTGAACACCCCTTACATACCCAAGCTCAGCCCAGAAGCCAGTCCTGATGGCAGAGGAGGGGCCCCATGAGCAGCCAAGCACATGCCAACTGCCCAAGATTGCATGCAGCTTCTCTATGACCCAGCAGGGGTGAGGCCACCACTCAGGCCAGCAAGACCAGCCAGATGCCATCTGCTCTGTCACTGTGCCTCAGAGGAGTGGCAGAGGCCCTAGACCCCAGGCCCCCAGGTGAGGCCGGCCATCTCTGCGGTAGCTCACAGGTGTGCTGCCCTGCTCGGCGGTAACCCAGGCAGAAGGCCAACCCTGCTCCATCCTCAGCACTACAGACCGTCTCTCAGGAATGACCTGTCCTCGGGGTCACCTTGGCAGGAGAGGCAGAGGGGATGGTCCACTAGGTCTTGGCCTTGAGCATGATGGCCTCAGCAAGCCCATGAGAGAATCCATCTGGTGCCGGGGCCCCTGGCATGGGGGGCCCTTCTCATTCCTCTTGGTGACGACAGGGATGACTCCCAGAGGCTCTATCCTCTGCGGTCAAGGTGTGTGGAGCAAAGACGCGAGGTCAAGTAGGAAAGACCCTTTTATTGGGGTGGACACGGAACACTCACTAGTCCATGATAAAATGACTCAAGAGAAAGATCCCCAGGGCCAACTTCTCCCCGATATGCACGCACGCTCAGAGTGAGGTCTGGGCATGGGAGAGTTCTGGGCGGAACACGGGACAAGACCGAGGCTCAAGGGCCTGGAACGGTGTTGGGAGAGAGAAGGCTGCTCGGCTGTCCTGGTGGGTCCGGCCACCCCAGGCCCGCCCCTCCTGCCCGGCCACAGTGAAGCCCCCGATAGAGACCCTCACAAACAGCCTCTGGTTCTCTGGAGGAGAACTGGGGGTGGGAGTCAGGGAACTGGCCAGGTGGAAGGCGGGGGTCAGGGGGACAATGTTGTTTTTTTTTTTTAAAAAGCATCTACCAACATCACACTACTGGGTCTGATGTCCCCTTTAACCAACGCTTGATACAGGTTACAGCATAAATAAAAACTCAAGGAAAATAAATACATCGGCTCCTATGAGGTTGGAGGTGGTGACGCAGGGTGTGGATGGGCGGGCGGGCAGGGTGCTTACACACGGTGGGCGGGCGAGCGGGTGGGTGACCGAGGAGCAGACACGGCAGGAGGCGCCTATCAGGAGCAAGAGTCTTAAGTGTCCTCATGCATGTCTGGGCTGTCGGTCCGCGCCACCTTGCGGGGAGGCGCTGAGCTCTCCCCTTCCAGCTCCACTTGCTCCTGGTCTCTCTTCTTGGCAGCATTCTGGGGACAGGGGAAAGAGAAGGGCTGTGAGTCTCTTTTTTTGGACAGGTTCTCACTCTGTTGCCTAGGCTGGAGTGCAGTGGTACAGTCACAGCTCACCGTAGTCTCAACCTTCTGGTTCAAGTGATCCTCCCAGCTCAGCCTCTGGAGTAGCTGGGGATACAGGAACACACCACCATGCTTAATATTTCTATTTTCAGTAGAGACGGGGGTCTCACTATGTTGCCCAGCCTGAAGCTCTGAGTCTTCAAGTGGGTGAAGCGCCCAGAGTCCTAATGCCAGCCCAGGCCCCCTGCAGCAGCATCACAGAGGTAGGCCTGGAGTGCAGTAGGGCAGCCCAGGGTACCTGGCAGGGCAGCCCCTCCTACCACCAGGACCTGCCCTGCTAAGCCCTGCCCAGGGCACATCCTGGACCCAAGGCTGGTAATAGACAGGTGTTTCCTGTGCACCTGGAGGAGTCACCACCACCGCTTTCAGTGACCCACACAGGACTGGTTTCTCAAGCACTCAAGAGGCACAATCCACCCAGCCTGGGGACAAAGGCCCTTTGGAAGCCAATGGGGATGCCGCACATTGACGCAAAAGAGAGAAGCACACGTCTCCTTCCCCACTGTGGGAACCAAGGCCTTGGGGGCAGAAAGGGCGGGGTTGGGCCCAGCAGCTTGGATTTTCGGAAGCAGTCACTTTGTCACAGAGTCCCCCCACCTTCCAACTTTGTCCAGGGCAGGTCGCCATCCACTGTTCAATGTTAGAAAAATATCAAACTGACCACACTGCAGAACAACAGGAAGAGATTTTCATTTAAAAAAAAAAAGAAGAAGAAGAAGGCCAAGCATGGAGCTCACACCTGTGATCCCAGCACTTTGGGAGGCCGAGGCAGGTGGATCATTTGAGATCAGGTGTTCGAGACTAGCCTGGCCAACATGGTGAAACCCTGTCTCTACTAACAATACAAAAATTAGCTGGGAGTGGTGGTGTGCACCTATAATCCCAGCTACTCAGGAAGCTGAGACAAGAGAATTGCTTGAACCTGGGAGGCGGAGGTTGTAGTGAGCTGAGATCGTGTCACTGCACTGCAGCCTGGGCGAGAACATGAGACTCTTAAAACAAAACAAAAAAAAGACCAGCTTAGGCAACAGGGTGAAATTCCTAAAATACAAATACATGACAGTACATGCCTGTAATCCCAGCTACTTCAGGAGAATGGTTTGAGCCTGGGAGGAGGAGGTTGCAGTGAGCCGATATCATGCCACTGTACTCCAGCCTGGGCGACAGAGACCCCCATAGCAAAAAAAAAAAGAAAAGAAAAAGGAGAAAAAATGTCCCATGTGCAGAGGCAGCCTGTGGGA